TGTCATATTCGACCCCTTTCACAGTACTCACCTCACCTTTCTCTACCTTTGTGTCAGCCAGTCCCTTTTACATCTTAACTAGTTTCTGTCAGGTTAAATGGAATTAATCATATTCCTCAATTAGGAAAATACCTTTACATACAGAGCCTCTTATTGCGTAAATTATAAATTAATTGAAAGAAAAGAACACTATCTTTTTCCCAAAATAAATGAGTAGTCTTTTGATGCGTTTTCAAGAAGAATTATCCACAACCTGCAACTCCTCTTCCCAGTGGATAAGCTCTGGTGGATAACGTTCAGGTGAACTCCGCGACTTTACAGTTCCGCACTAACAGATTTAGATGCCATTATTTACGCCATTGATAGTGCACTCATCGTGCATCTCCATTAAATCTGAGGTCATCATGAGGTCAACCCGAACGACCAACCACAGTGATTAGGTCTCTTTTTTCAACAGGAAGAGAAGAGTGCCAGAGAAGAGGAAGCACTTACCTTGGGGATGTACTTGTCCATCACAAAGGAGGGAAAAGGCGTGAAACTGGAGGGGATATCTTCACCATCACAAATGATTTCCTCCTCCTCCGGTGTTAGTCCAATTTGCTCTGAACAGTCACCATGTAGTGAGGGAGGCAGTTGCCAGGTTACCACAGTGAGCTGGAGAGGGAGAGAGAGAGAGAGAGGATTAATTGAATACTCCAACCTCTTATAATTTACGATAGCTGAAACTCCAATAAGCCACAAAACTATGGTCTTAGTAAATGTGCATTTACTAAGACCCTTGAATATATCGAGGGCATTGGAGATGAACTCTTCGATTTCAATGGAAGTTCTAAGGCAACAGATGACATTCTTCTTGGTGGTTTCGTTAAGCTTCAGAGCTCATCATAAGGTAATGATGGGCATTATCACGGTAAGCCAACTCCGGAGGGTCTACACTTTCCGAGTAAGTGGTCAAAACTTCTCTGCGCTAGGTCGTAGTAATCAAATTTTGCTTGACTCTATAGAGCCCCCACCCCCCACTCCCGCCCAAACACAAGAAAGGAAAGGAAGCACCCGCAGTTCAGCAAAAAAAACGTGGAAAGAGCCAATAGCACAGCTTCAGAGAATTAAGATAATTAATAAGTAGTTGAGTGCATGTTGAAGGTCTGTAACTCAGCCTGTTGTATCAGCCAAATATTCGTACACAATAGAGGGGTTTGGACGATCCCTTGAGAATGAGTGAAGGAAAAAAACGGAAAATTAGATTTATGAATATAATGGGGATAAAGACTCCACTGACAAATCCTAACGATAAGGTCTCAACCGAGTTTGTGCAACTTCTATGAGGCGCAGCACAAGGCCAATGTCGAAGCGCGGTCACTCAGAGTATTACTGAGCAGTTCCCAGTATGTAATTTACACCTCGTGACTAACATTCTACATTTGATAGAGCAGATGTGAATTTTGCAGCCTGAGCTATAGACATAATGGGGTCAATGAGTGCATCCAGATACAACATTCACAAAGTATCCCCCGCTGTAACCCCCCNCCCCCCCCCCCCCCCCCCCTTCGAAGCCCTCCCATTAAGAGACAGAAAGTGATAAAGAAAGTAAATCAAAACATACCAAGCTCCAACCGGACATCCTCTTAAATTCCACCACAACACCAAATGTGGTCCAATTAGGAATTAACCTGTTTCCACAGTTTGGCAAGAATGAAGCGGAAGTCATACTCTGCGTGGCAGCTCGAAGCGATTCCGTGGAGAGTTGCAATTCCACTACTCTTCCTGGGCAGAAAATTTTATCAAGCATTGATGCGGGTTGTTCTCCTGCCATCTTTGCACAAGTCAACGACAGATTTCGAAAGTAATCACAGGTCTAGAAAAGTAAAAAAAGTAGCATTCAGTGAACATGGCCGGGTTTATGTCCACTTTAGGCACAGGTAATAAAGAGCTCCGAGGCTACTTAGGAGAGAGAGTCTACTAACACTCATCCGCAGTAGTGGTAGTAGAGGGGTAAAGGAACATGAAGTCATCCCCATGTGGGAACTTTGAATATCGACAATTTCCTTTTGCTAGGTGAACTGAAAAAAAATCCCAAGAGAGTAGTTAAGATAAATTAAGTTTGACGTGAAGGGGTGTGCGATAGACTTACAACCACGTGGTGCACCCTGGTCAACGTTTACTCATACGGAAAAAGTCTATTAACCGGCAGTTGACTTCCGACTTCAAAACACCATCACCTCACTGTATGTCATATTCGACTACTTCCACAGTGTCTTTCTCTTACATCTTTGAAATACTCTTCTGTTCCCCCCTCCCCCTCTCGACTTTTTTTCACTTTGATGTTCCTCCTCCTCTCTGTGAAACCTGAAGTCAGCTAAAGAGCTAATGATAACTATAAAAACGCCTTCCATTTGAAATAAATAATTTGACGTGAAAGACCAGATGAGAAATTTTACCAAATGAATTTCAATTTTTCAGCCAGAGATATTTGTGCACGAACTGAGAATTCTGTGCCCGAAAATCGGGAGCACAATCCTATTAAAAGGTTATGATTCCCAACGAATTTCCCCTACTTTAGAGATGATTCGGATCATATGGAGGAGTGGAGAGTGGAATTCAAAGTAAATATTTAAAACTAGGCGATTTCTCAGAAGTCGAATTTGGTCCATGCTATGAACTTCCTTAACCCAAATCCGAGCTAAATAAGTTCCAAAATTCAAGTTAAGACATTTCTACTTTCAGCTTAACTATAATAATATTAAGTGCTATTCTTTAGATCCACAGAAACTATATCGCCAATATGTTAATTATTTAACATACAACTCCTAATAATCTCACCATATAGAAAGGAACCATCTCGTGGATACACAGGTTCCTGTAAGATTCCGGGTCATCTTGAGGTAAAGCAGGGCATCTTGTAGTAACAGGATGACACTTTATAGCTCCCTGATCCCCAGAAATATTAGCAACGGGTCCAGTTTTAGATAACCTCGGGGCACTTTCGTAGGTGTAATCACCAAGTGCAGAAGACTTGATGAGTTCCTTCAAAAGATCAACCTGATGTTTCCTCTTCAACTCGAGACGCAAATCACCAGCGTGCATGAAGGACTGTCGAATAAGCTCTTGGGGAGACTGGAGTTCACCTCGATGAAGGTAGAGGATCATGGAGTAGGTGATTTTGAAGCGAGAGGAGAGTTTGGTGGCCTGACCGAGAATCATTTGTTGGAGCTGGAGGTCAGTGGGCATCCCACTGACATCTAGGTTGTTGGCCATGATGATTACAGTTCCGGTGGTGTCTAGACCTCGTCTACCTGCACGACCAGCCATTTGAGTGTACTCACCTGATGGAGGGGCGAGGGAGGGGGGTGGGGGGGGGGGAATATCCAATTAGAAAGTATATAAACTTTAACAAGAGAAACAACAGGGCTATGGCAGGAAAATTCCAAAAGGAATTCCATCCGAAATAACTGCGTTTTGTTGGGGGATTCTATACTTAAATGATAGGCCTAAATGATATTTAGGAGAACTGGGTGTGCAATAGACGTACCTCCACGTGGTGCACCCTGGGCAACATATTCTCATACGGCAAAAAAAGTCCATTAACCGGCAGTTGACTTTTGACTTCAAACTACCATCACCCCACTGTAAGTCATATTCGCCTTCTTCCATAGTACTCACCTCACCCTACCTTTTTCTACCTTTGTGTCAGTCTGTCTCTTTTACATCTTTGAAACACTCTTTTGTTCCC